TAGTGAAAAGTGGGTGTTACATTGTACAGTGGCATTAAGTGCCGTAGTGTGCACCTCTGCCTACCCCCTCCGGGATAAAAAGAGTGATGTTATCTTATGTTTACATTGCAAATTCCAAAATCCAATAACAATAATCTCCACCCACAAAAACCCGTAACAGAAACTAATAACTGTAACTTAAGTATAGAAAAGTGGGAGTATTAACCTCACTCCCAAACCCTAACAACTTACCCCTAGGCATTCGATACCTATCAATTATGATCTACAAAATAAAATGTTATGGACACCGTCTGGTTTTCTATTACAAATTATATGATATCATCTTTCTAGCCGGCGGTGGGGGGTTAATAACATCACACTGCGATCAAATAAGATGGCTATCGAGATAATTATAAGACGATACTTTTAATTATACGAGCTGTGTTTTTTTAAGTTATTTTTTTTTTTATTTATTCTTATTGACATTTATTTTGTTTATTGACAGTGACAGTGATGCGGACGAGTATTTTGGACGCCTAGTTTTTTTTTATAGTGGGTTTCGTTGGTATTTCAGTTACGTATCGTCCTTTTTTATTCACTGTTTTAGTTTTTTTAAGCTGTATATTAATTCATATTCGTGTTATTTAAGTTCCTCGTTTCTTATTTGAATAATAAACTATATTTTGCTTCATGTTTGTATTGGTTTTTGGTAAAATGTGTGTAGATAATTTGGTTATGTAAGTTCAACGACTTCAGTAACTATGAATTAGATAACATTCGACGTGGAGTACTAAGGAGGAGGCCTATGGTCAGTAGTGGACGTTTTCCAGCTTGTGGACGATGACCATAACATTTATTGCTGTCAATAATAGTCAAATTTATGAAGTACTCACGAAAGTGATAACAAAGTTGGATGTTACTTATGGTCGTGCCGTACAAAGCAAAGCTTTAAAGTATTTTTGTATTGATCCTGTACTTAGTTACCGTTAACATCACTTATGTATAACTATACATCATTATTCCGCTATTTTCAGATGATCACGCGGTACCGCGCGTCACCGCGCAGTAGGTGACTAGCGCGCGTCACGAACCACTGCGCGCGTTGCCGCGTAGTACCGCGTGATCATGCGGACGGTCCTAGCTGTTTACTTAAATCTTGTACCGCGTGGCGAATATTTCCTGACGGTGCCGCACGGTCATCTGAACTTAGCCTTATTCTTCTACTATCTCCGGCCACCGTAAACATGGGCGGCTCGCCGCCCGACCAGAACCAGACCCGAGCGTACGGTGCGTCGCGTACCGCGCGCGGCTCAAAGAGCCATCAGACCCCCACGTATAGGGCCCAATTCGGCTGATGCCGATACGGAGCCGCGGAGGACTTAACGGGTTGCCGGGGTTTCCGGCTCGAAGGGCAGGAGTAGGATAGGGTTGGCTTTAGCAGTCATTAGATGATTTTCTCCCTTAAAAAGCCTTATTCTTCTACGTAATCTGAATGGCAGATTTTCCAATGTTCATCATTATAAACATTTGATCATGTTATTGGGCAACGGTACCCTGTCATTATATAACATGGCACCATCGCCCCGTATTCCCAGAAGACATTCAATGATGTTCAAAACACCCATATTTCACTAATCTTGTTCCACGTAGTATGGAACTTAAAAGAAAGAGGAAACACACAGATAATAATCAGAAACAAGACCAAATTGCTTGAAATACTATACTTATAAAATAAACATTTGAACATAGACATAAAATATGACATGAAATATGTCGCGAGTTCGAGTCATGGAACAAATCTTTGTGTGATCCACAATTTGTCGATAAGGGTTTGCATAAAAAAAATGTAGATGTTTATGTATAAACAAGATACAGCAAGTCTGCGAGAATGATATCAGAAAAAAATTAAAATAGATCTAAAAAAAATCTTGTAAATAATATGTTGCATTGCAACACTGTTTACTTCGTTCAGAATAAAAGGCACGATGTTCATGTCACGAGAAAACTGTAAAAGACTTACTTATGTAGGTCACAGGCCGATATGACAAGCGTACGAGATTTTATGGAGTAAATAAAAAGGCTACGCAACCGCTACGGAGCGTGACGTCACTACTACGGCGGCTACAGCGTCGTAGCCAATAACCGTGCTACGATTTCTCGTAGTCATTTCTTTTATGTACGTGCTTAGGGACTAAAGTGTGAGAAACGTGTTTTATTTTTATTTCTAAGTTAATAGGAAACGATTTTAGATTCTATATTTAACGATGAACAAGGAATCTCTTTTAGGAATATATGGGGCAAGCGTCTTCAATATCCTCAAAGGATTGGCTACGTTCTGATTTAATGTTGAAAGTTTTAATAATATCAGAGTTCGCGCTATCATCGAGATTTGACCTGATTTCTCATATGAACTCCTTTGAGAAAACCCATGTTTTTGTGTCTGTGTGTCATAAAAGTATAAAGAGGGTAAGAGAAACGCTTCCAAAAACTAAGACAGGTATTGTTAAAAAGCTGTTTATATTTTTTTAAAGTAAGTAATTCAATGCTTCTTTTATGTAATAATAATTGTAATCAATGGCTCAAGGCTGATGTTGCATGAATAACATGAAAACAAAAACTATTAAAATTATGAAAAGCATTTTTTGTCTGCTTTTTCTAAAGACACTCTGTAAAATGAATCTATAATTATCTTAAGCTGTAATTTCACCCTTAAAATTGTTAAAGCCTACCTCTGTAATTAAAGGCACTCGATTCTTCGAGAGGCAAATATAAAATTTATGAATTTTAAGCAATTATTTGTATCTTACCGGCAACTTTGGAGTGGTACGCCACTCCGACGCCGCAAACACCGTTGTCTCTCGCTGCTGCAACCTCCCCTGCACATCGCGTGCCGTGACTGAGAAAGAAAAGTTATGCTTAATATGCATACTACAATTGATCCAACTAAACTATGTAATCAATAATTATATGATAAACTGATTGAAGAAAAGTAACCATGGAGTTTCTTGCACGTTCTTCTCCATAGGAATCTACACTTGAGAACAAACCAATAAGCATCACTTACTTTGTATCTTATTCAACGTTAAAAAGTGCCTTCTATACTAGTTCGTCAATACTAGTTTAACTAAAAATCGTGGGTTACTCACGTGAATATACTAAGAAAAACTCTCCACAGTCGCTCACTCCGCTCATGTGGAAGAACCCCTCTGTGGTTCGAAACTAGTAGAGCTATTCTCAGTATATTCACATGAGTAACCCGCGATTTTAGTTAATACTAGTTTATAATAAATTATGCTTAAGAAGCCTATGGTTAGCAGTAGACTCTTAAGGGATGATAATGCCTAATAATAGGTAATGTTAGAGGTAATTCGCCTGCGTTATTGAAAAAAAAATTGTTCCATTGCGAGTTGCGACTTGTAAGAAAGCCAAAGAAACAAACAATTTTCACATTCATTATTCACAATAGGGATAATGACGGCGTATGAAAATAAAAAATCTAATTAGTTCATCAGTTAGGTAATGAAAAAATATTAGACACGTATTTTCTTATTTTGTCGTATAAAAAAACAATAATTACATAAAACGAATCAAAGTTTAGGAGTGGGAGGTAGCTACGTCACTTTAGAGTATAAATCGTACTCAAAGGTGAAGTCATGCGATATTTCAAATCAATATATCTTCGAAACTATTCGTTTAAGTAAGAAAATAAAAAATACGTGTCTAATGTTTTCAAATAATCTACCAGACAGACATTGAAATAAAAATTAATCATCTACCCTATTATCGTAGTAGTTAATATTGGTGTGTATCTTGTAAACAACAATATTTCAACCTATAAAATAAAATCAACTAAAGTTTGTTTGTTTTAATTCTGAGAAAATTTTGTAGCTGTAACATTTCGGTTAATTTGTTATTCGTGTATTTGTTTATACAAAATTTGGCAATAGTTCTCATAGTTTTGATTAAAACTAATAAATTAACTGCTTTCAAAGCCAATCGTTTATCGACAACTGATTTTAATTAAAACTTTCATTCACTAGAGTTTGTTATAGTTAATTTTACTGTTCAAAGATTGACTTTAGGCTATCTATTCAACCTATATTATACTCTTGACCTAATTTTCATTAGTCTTTTTTTTAAGGGGGAAAAATCATCGAATGACTGCTCCCTGCCTGGGTGAGGCGAAAGGGAGTGTCAGACTCTTACTGACTAAAAACCACCCCGTTCCTTCTCCTGCACGTCGAGCCGGAGCCCCGGTTACCCGTTAGGTTCTCCGCGACTTTCCATTAGTCTAGGATTGCCTAAGCGTCGGTTTCACTCTATCGTTTAAACACCCGATAAACTATGTGACAAATAGTTCACACAAGATACATTTTCAATTCAAAGTGTGTTCAAACTTATCAGTTATCCAGACATTGTTAACAGGCCCTAAAATAAGCAAACGAGTCGAAATACCACTACAAATAACACTGAATACATTTAATTGATACATCTAGACATCTTATGATTCTTATGTATAGTCAACAATGGCGATTTTAGCTAACTCCTCTAAAAGAAAGGCTGTTATTCAGATATATGAATTATAGTAAGAATTTTATTTTAAATTTTATTATGTAATTGGGCTTTAAACTCGTATTATATTACAAAGCTTTAAAATGACTGCCTCGTTGGCAGAGTGGTCGCAAGTGCGACTACCGGGCATGGGGTCTCGGGTACTATTCCCGGGTAGGGCAAAGTATTATTGCGTTTTTAAAATTCTCAGTAGTAGCACGAAGTCTGGAATTGTGCTCGGTATATGGCAATAGGCTCATCCCCTATTACATGGGACTCATAACATAAATAGTGAAAGTTGCATGTACAGTGGCATAATGTACACCTCTGCCTACCCCTGCAGTAATAAAAGGAGTGATGTTATGTTGTGTATTCTATTTCAAAGCAGTTAATAATAAAATTGGTGAAAATGTCTTGTGAAACAATAATATTGTGTATGTGTGTTATAAGTATATATTTTAAACCCTAGTTAGATTTGAACGGTTCCATCAAGTTTCCTTATTTGTAGAACTATTTCACTCAAAGAGCTGACTTGATGAGTTTGAGTTGTCAAATAGAAGACTCGAGACGCTGGAACTTGTTCGAGCATACTAGAGGACTAACTTTTATGAAGCGTTGATTTTAATCAAAGTACCAGCTAAATTATTGTAATGAAATCAAACGACAGGAAAACTTTGCTAAATCTTTAGATTATGCCTGATATATTTTTCGATTCTGATACATTTTTTTTATAGAATAAGCCGGTAAAAGAGCACATGGTTCACATAGTAAGCAATCGGCGTCGCCTATGGACATCCGGAGCGCCAGAGGCGTTGCACAAGTGCGTTACCGGCCTTTTGGGAATATAAGGATTGTCAATATTTCAGTTATAGTAAAACGAGATAACATAAAGTGTTACTATATTGTATTATACATTTTAGCTATAACTCTCTAGCATTCAAGTCTCGAAATATGGACACTGGACAGATAGGGGAGCAACCAAAGAAACTATAGGAAGGGTTTTTGAAAGGTGACATGAGTTACAAAGGAGTTATGATAATATGACAGCTGCTAGGGGAAAAATACGAGAGAAAAACAAACAACGACCACATGTACCCTTTGTCAGGGATGGCAAAACGGGGATTTGAAATGTATGTAAAAGGGTTTACCTCTTTCAAAATACTTAGTAGGTAATGCGTTAGATAAAACTATAACATCATGCGTTTTTATCCCGAAGGGGTAGGCAGAGGTGCACATTACTGTACTTGATGCCACCGTAACACCCACTTTTCACTATTTATGTTACGAGTCCCATGTAATAGGGGATGAGCTTATTGAAATATACCGGGCTTCATGTTACAACTGAGATTATTTTTGAAAAACCCAATAATACGTTGCCCGACCCGGGAATCGAAACCGAGACCCCTTGCATGGCAGTTGCATTTGCGACCACTCGGCTAACGAAGCCATATTATAATGTATCTGAGAATATGACAATACTTTCGTCTGGCAAAGAGGCTGAGTGACCGGTTTTTGTACATGTCACGAGTTCGATTTCAGCATGGAAAAATTATTTGTGTGTTCCTCAGGTCGTTGTTCCGGGTCTGGGTGTAATGTTATCGGCACATCAGAAAATTATACTGCCTGATAAACGAACTTACTTGGAATTCTCGGACTAGTCTACGAACATATCTGGTGACAACTGAAGCACAATAAAACCGCGGCTTCATCTTCTTATGCGGCAAATAATAACTTGATAAAACAACTTATATAAGTAAGGATAAGTAATTCTAAGTTTGGATGTTTGGATGTTTGTATATTTGGATATTAGTCTGTCAATTACGCTGAAACTACTGAACGGATTTTGATGAAATTTGGTACACAGGCAGGATATGAACTATCTAGGACATTTTATTCCAAGTAAATGCTCCCATGAGATAAAACAGGAATCATATTCTACGCGGACGAATTCGCGGGCAACAGCTAGCCATGGTATCAAATAAAGAGAATAAATCAACATCAACATCAATCTTCAAATGAAACATCCACATGGGTAAACTCAAGAGCAAATACTACCTAGGACTAACATTAAATAAACTTAATTTGATCGAGTTTACAGTACCTATGTGCTTACTCTGAACTCGGTCATGTTGAATACCAATTTATTTGTATTCAAACTGAAATTACGTTGAAATATAATTTCTAACCCTTTTCATATGAATTGTGGAGTCTGAACTAATAACTTTTGACACTGTTTTGGGACTGTTTATGATAGTTCGTTTTTGTTCAAATGTGATATTGGTCTCATCATCATCTACAGCCTATAAGTGCTAACAAAACCTTTTCCCACACGAATAAGGTTTGAGCATTAATCACCACGCTTGCTCATTGCGGGATGGCGGTTTCAAACTGATAATTAGAATAGTCGAGGTTTCCTCGCGATGATTTTCTTCATCGTTTGTCAGTGGTGTTTAGATGATCTTAGAAAGTATATATAACTCGGAAAAAGTCACATTGGTACTTGCCGTACATGTTGGTAGGTTTCGCACCCGCACGCTCATGTATGAGAAGCATGCATGCATGAAGCATTACTAAATATTGGTCTAGTAATGAAAATTTGTGATAGTGATATTTTTTTATTACTGTCTCATAACGTTTTTCTTTTACCCAATTATGTTTCGTGTCCCGTGCAATAGAGGGTAAGTCAATTGTCATATACCGGGCACAACCTATAGACTAGGTGATATCAATGAGACTTTTAAAAAACTGAAAAAACGTAATACTTAACTCTACCCGAAAAAAATACCCTTGCTTGACCAGTCGTTATTTAGACATCTCAACCAACGAGGGACATTGATTAACTTGCTTCTAGATAATACCAACTAGCCTGTCTAAAATATATATTTTACTATAATAAACACGTCACTTTCAGAATCATTCTCCACAGGGACTATCCAGTCATAATTTGTCATACAATATTCAAATGTAATTGCAAATAATGAATCTAAACCAATTTGTTTTATTAAAGTTTTGCGGTAAAATTAACATTTAACATTCAATGTTCTGTGGCACCACACAGTTCCCCGTATTTAATCATATTACTGTTTAATTCGGCTGGATTATCATTCATTTGATAGTATTGTCACATAGTGGTTGCAATCAGGGATAATCAATGATGATAAATACCTCTACATATTTGTTTAACTATATACAGCTCTAATTAGTTCCATTGTCATCCTTTTTTTATTACTCTCAGTAGAAAGATAGAATTATTTTGTTGGCTTTGGGTTTTGTGTAGTTGTTTGATTGCTTCATCATCTTCTAAGTTTTTGATTTTTATATTATATTTTTTGTTAAATAAACTAGTTAAACTTAGGCCTGCTGTCTACGGTGCGTCATTTGACGAATCCATGCAACCCACAAATGATAGTTGGGAGTCTACAAATAATAAATAATCTTTGCTTAGAAACAATGAGAACTATCCACAAAGTGGCAAATGTAGTTCTCTTTTCGTCATTTGTAAGTGACATGCATTCGTTAAATGACGTGTCGTGGGCCTTATTGATTTTATTAACATCATCTTTATATCAGTCTCAAGAAGTCTTGAATTCTGAAGAGGCAAACTTATATTCTGTAGTAGACTTCCACCACAGAATATAAGAAGATTTAAGACAGATTTAAGACAGATTTAAGACTTATATGCCTTATAGTCTGCCTTAATTCCAGATCACCCGGTTGTAAGCTATCTCCGACTTTAATCAGGTCATTTTAAAGTCTTTAATCTTCCAACTGTTTTAAATTTCATTCATATACATTGCTCAGGTCACCGTACTCCAATAAGTCGATATTTTTCGATGCATTTTCGACTTCATATCAAAACAGTAAAGCTATATAATGCTCACATACCTGTTAAACCAGTCGTCCGTATATCTGGGATACGGAAACGGATCGTTGCTGCTGAAGTCATACGAAGCCTCTGCGTTCTACGACAAACAAAAGAAGAACATTAGTTACAATCATATTTTTATTTACAAATATTTACCCCATTTCAATTCCTTATATGTGTTATTAACCCCCTTCAAATAGAAGCTCGCACAAAAATAGCAGACGAAGCCGGTATCAGAAGCAAGTTTATATTAAAAGAAACTATTAACATATTCTTTAAAAATAAACTTGTTTTTTCTAACACAAAATGTTGTGACATTGTTTTTTCCTTCTTGGAAACAAAAGCATGATTTCTTTCTCTTAGTAGGTACGATGAAATTCTAAAGATATGCCAGTTAAGTACCTTCAGAACATTCAAACAACAGGCACGGTTTGCAAAAGTTTTTGTTTAAAAATTTCCATACAAACATTTGTTTCGACTGAACAATTCGAGGCAAACAAAACAACAGTCGTATTTTTAAAAGTTGTTTTATAAAAACGTTGAAAAAATTAAAACAAGTCTTAATTTATTACATGACAGGGCGGTATAGGGAGCAGAGTAAACGGTATGACGGTGAATATGTATGCTACCTATGAAAATAACTAAAAAGATAATAATTATACCAGAATAACAAAACATTTAGAATATCTGAAAAATGATATTCGTCATGGTTTGTTTCTGGAACAAAAACAATTTTTTAGGACTAGAGGAAGTCTCTACCATGACTGGTACACCAGATTTTCAGAACTTAATTACTTTAACAGCAAGACGTACACACACGTGCTCATCACAAGGTATCTTTAAAGGGATATCAATTCACAAATCAATCTCAGATGAATACAGTAATTGCAAGTCAAATCAATCTTTTTAAATAAACCACAATGGTCCTTTTGAAAGTTAAACATTAAAATTTCGTATCTATTTGTCTATAACCCTTGAAGCGATTAATCCTGACAGTTCCAAATTAGTCATGAACCATATTCGTCAAACTTCAAGTTAGCCTCGACCAGAGTTTAACCAAATTGAGTGAATAACAGTAATTATACATAATCCTCGCTTGATCCTAATGAATTCGTACGCACAGTTAAGCTTAGTATTAAATTAGAATTAAGATTAATTTACTTTGTAATTATTCAAGTTGGGCTTAGATAAAAATTCTGTAATCTGGCTGCTAAGTGAGGAATCTGAACGATTTTACGTAATTTATTTTGAATAAGTATGATTTTGTGCACGATGGACAATTTGTTAGTTGCCTCGTTTTGGCCGAGTGGTCGCAAGTAAGACTGCGGGGCAAAAGGTCTCGGATTCGAGTCCCATGGTCGGGTAAAGTATTACTGGGTTTATAAAAAAAAATCAGTAGTAGCGCGGAGTCTGGAATTGTGCCCGGTATATGGCTATGGCCTCTTATTACATGGGAATCAGACTTATAACTTTAATAGTGAAAAGTGAGTGTTACATTGTACAGTGGCATTATGTGCCGTAATGTGCACCTCTGGCTACCCCTTTGGGGATCAAAAGTTTTAATATTTGACAAAAAACAACAACTTTGTCTACACGAGCCCTTAAATCTGTTTTAAACTACATCGGGTTGTATATCTTTCGATTTTCTCCAATTTTGGTGAACCAGACTTGGATGAAATCGATGAACAATTACATACAACAATTTTGGAGAGAGGGAAAATTTCATTGCTTGTTTGCATTGAATAGCCTTCAAAGCTACTGCACAAATTACATTATTTTTAAAATTAGAAAACGTACTTTTGATGGAATGAAATAGGCGAATTTTTAATATTCTTTCATTCCGATTATCTAGAGGATAGTAGGAACTAGCTAAGTACCTAACTAATTTAAATTGTTAGTCTAAAAGTATATAATATAAAAGGCCTATACAATATACTCGTAAAGTTATTTCAGCAGAACGAGACCAATTATAAGTTATAAGTTCTGAATGTATATAATTTAAATTCCGTAGTGCTCCAAAAAAGTACAAGAAGCGTTCCCTAATTTGACAAAGTTAGGAGACTGAAATTAAATTATATTTTCAAGTTCACGGACAACGAACGAATATTTTCAAAACTTTTAAAGAATACTGTTAGTCGTAATTGAATCTTCGACAGAAGCTTTAAAAATAAGTACATATTTATAGCAAAGTAATAAACAATGTTTATGTAACATGCCTCTTTTGCTTCAAGGCATATGCAAGTGTAGTGTGAAAACAAAAATCTCACTTTAAATCATTTGTGAGTTTCTTAGTAACAATTCACTTCGTAATTTTTAATCTTAACGTAATAGTATCGAGTGCATTCGGCGCTCTGATTGGCCGGCTCCAGAAAACCAACCAATCAGAGCGTCTAACGCGCTCGATATTATTACGTTACGATTGCGATAGTTATTCGTGCTTGGTGCTCAGATAATGAAAAAAAACAATAATATATTTCTACAACCAGTAATAAAACCCAAGATCTCTTACTTCAGTGGCACTCGTAATTACAAGATCAATAAGACAAAGGTTTATGTTCAAAAAGTAAACTAAAGCAGAATAGACTGCTGTGTCCAAAAGAAAAACTAAAAAAAAAATATCATCATTCAAAAAACACGATTCCATTTCACCAAGTAAACAAAAAGCGCCTATTTACACGAAAGTATTATCTCGCACCGAGATTTAAATATTTAAAGATGTTCAGTGCCCGTGAAGATGTTCATTAAAATTCTACCTCTGGAACAAATCTCACTTATCATTTCGTGGAACGGAGCTATGAAAAGCTACACTTTTTATTAGGGATTAAAAAATAAAAATCTTTGTTTAATTCAACGCGTATTTTCATTAGCAGATATTTTCTTTTTTGTTAATTTCTTGTTAAGCGAATCGTAAAAATGTTTTTAGGGATTTTATTTAAAACAAAGATTGTAAATGCTGCAGAGATTTATAGAACAACTTTACTAGTTTTTTAGTTCGTTTTGGATATAATCCGTTTATAATTTACTTGGTATCTTACATAATGAAATAGGTTAGAGGAGGTTAGTAAATCACACACTCATCTTGTGACGGTCAAATAGTAGTATTATAATATTTTTACATTAGACTAATATTTTACAGTAACAATAACATAACATCACGTTACGACACATTACGACACTTAATACCACTGTACAATGTAACACCCACTTTTCACTATTTATGTTTTGAGTCCCATGTAATAGAGGGTGAGCTTATTGCCATATACCGGGCACATTTCCAGACTCCGGGCTACTACTGAGGTTTTTACAAAGTCAGTAATACTTTGACCGACCCGGGAATCGAACCCGAGACGCCTTGCTTGGCAGTCGCACTCAGCGACCACGCGGCCAATGAGGCAGTATTTTATAATAAATACTTACATAATTGTACTTCAAATCTGGATGCATGTAGTCGACACCTGAAACAAACAGACTCGATTTAAACGCACTTTATTTATAAACTAGCTTTTACCCGCGGCTTCGCTCGCGTCACAAAAGGATAAAAAGTCTATGTGACATATACCAATACTTTTGTTTTACCTCGGGAATATCAATTTTTCCGGAATAAAAAGTAGCCTATTATTTAATCCAGACTTCTAACTTTAATTTTGCAAAAATACAAAGCAATCGGTTAAGTAATTACGGCGTGAAAGCGGAACAAACAAACATACTCACTTTCCGATTTATAGTACTACTATATACTAAGTAAAGATAACATGATATTGTTACAGTTTGTTACAGTGTAATGGACTCCTAACTCGAACCAAGTACCTTCGTGAGATCAGCCACGTTAACAGGCACTGAACTAGCTTCATTCATCATATAATTTCATAAAAAAAAAGTGAACGATGAGCGACAAAGTAATGTATTATCTTTTTCATGTCACAGATACGCAACATTAATTTAGTTTTTTTTATTAAAAATGTATGAAACGGAGTGGCTCTGTTTAATATATTCATTTTCGTCCCGTCATACGACTTAATTACGTTATCTTAATTATTATTCATTAAAAAAGGCAACACGAATAATGTTCTACGAGACGGTAAATTAGCTTTTTCTAGAACCTCTTGTGTTTAAATTGAAAATGTTATTTTAACATTTTATTTTTAGGAAAAACATGTTATAATGTGTCTCTAATGAAACTAAAGAGGAATAGGATAGGAATTGTTCTTTGAAAGCTTAAAATAAACTTTTACAAAGATCCCCTTGATCGTTTTATGTAAGTATCTAGAACAAATACGATTTTCATTTTCCAGTGAACTTTTACTTTCATTTCGCCTAAAGTATTAGATTCAGAAACGCCTACTTATATACATGGTTGTTCAAACAAACAAAAACATTAGAAGTTCGCCAATGTATCTTGTTTATTTTCTTCATTAAATTTCTTCTTCAATTGAAATAAAACCAATATTTATCAGAGAGGCAATTACAGAATATATGTTATCACATGATTATTTTATAGCCGTATGGTATACACAGAACAGAAATATAATTGGGATGATGACAGGGTATGAAAATTAAAAATCTAATTAGTCCGAAGTTAAGGAATGAAAAAATATTAGACACGTATTTTGTCGTATAATAAAACAATACTTAGATAGAACGAATCAAAGTTTAGGATTTGGGGCTAAAACGTCATTTCTACGTATAAAATGTACATAGAAGTGACGTAATGCGACATTTCAAATCAATATATCGTCGGAAGTATTCGATTCTGAAAGAAAATAAAAAATATGTGTCTAATGATTTAAAATAATATACAAGACGGACATTAAAATAAAAATTAGGCATCTACCCTATTACTCTTCCTGAGAGTGCCAAGAACCCATTAAAAGACTGAATCTGATAGCAGAGTTCTCTAATAAACCTGAACCTTTTGATTCCCGATCGCCCGCCTTCCATAGTCAAACATCGAGATGGAAAACCTACTTATGTATATATGTATGATGGCAAAGTTACTTATGTATATAGCCCCACGCAATGGAGAGGAGCATGATAATCGTAAAAAAAGATACAAAAAAAGGAAAACAGACATACGACACAAAACAAAAACCACAGATGTAACATTAAAAACAAAAAGACTGAAATGGAGATGGGCAGGGCATATGATCATAGGGCAAGAGAAGTGGAGCAAAATCGTAACCAGTTGGTACCCCAGGGAAGGATCCAGAAAAAGGGGTAGACCTCTTAAAAGATGAAATGATGACCTCAGGCAAGTGGCAGGAGTTACGTGGCACAGAGTAGCTCAAGAACGAGATGAATGGAAAAGGTTGGAGGAGGCCTTTGCCGACCGGTAAACAGATCTCCAGAAAATAAGTATTTTATAGATCTAAGTAATGCAAATCTAAGGCAATTCTAAATTATGTAACAGTTATTAGTTGGATCTGAATAAAGGGGTATTTTATTATATTATTTTATCATGCCCCACAGTCCAGCTGGACTATTACAATCATTAACTTCAAGAACACAGTACTGAACTCACCATCATCCATTATAGCAGTTGTAACATTCACCCCCGTATACCCTTGAGCCCAGGCGGCTTCAACGTTCAAATCCAGTTTAGGCTTCCCCCCATTTTGTCCCGTATTCTTCAAGTACCATTGTAAGGGGAAATAGGGGTCACGGGGTTCGGCAGCGGGCGCTGGCGCAGGTTCCGGTAGCCTTAAGGGACGAAATCCCCTCTTTACTCTCTTAAAACCGGTTTGTTGTACTGCTGTGTGAACCTGTAGACGAAAAAAATATTTTGGTTACATTACATTGTATTTTGACTCGATCAGATTTGGGGAAAGTTCTGAAGGGATGCGACTGCCGGGCAAGGGGTCTCGGGTTCGATTCCCGGGTCGGGCAAAGTATTACTGGGTTTTTAATTCTCAGCAGTAGCACGGAGTCTGGAATTGTGCCCGGTATATGGCAATAGGCTCACCCGTATTACATGGGACTCATAACATAAATAGTGAAAAGTGGGTGTTACATTGTACAGTGGCATAATGTGCCAACCCCTTCGGGGATAAAAGGCGTGATGTTATGTTATGTGTTCTGCAGGGATCGAGATGACATTTGGAACAGTGGTAGATTATGGTCTAAAAGAACACGCTTTTATTATACCACGGTATCGCGGGCGAAGCCGCTGGCAGAAGCTAATTTTACATAAGCACACATCCACCATCTTGTTTTGTTTTTTCCATGTATTAGAGCGTAAGTCAAACATTAATTATTAAAAAGTCTACATGAGTCTCCTAACAATACTTATTCATACTAAATGCGACTGAATAATTTGAATTTATGATTTTTTCTAGGCGTATAAGCAATTTTGTAACATCCACGAATAATTTCTTCAAGTTATTTTACATCTTACAACATTCGCGGGACGATCTCCGGCCACCGTAAGCGTGGGCCTGCAGACGACGAGCATGGGTGGCTCGCCGCCCGACCAGAACCAGACCCGAGCGTACGGCGCGTCGCGTTCCGGGCGCGCCTCAAGACCACCACAGGTGGGGCCTAATAGGGCTGAAGTCGCGGAGAACGTAACGCGTTACCGGAGCTCCGGTTCGAAGTGCAGAAGTAGGAACGGGGTGGTTTTTAGTCAGTTAGAGTCTAACACTAAGGCGGGAGCAGTCATTCGATGATTTTCCCCCATTTAAAAAAACCCTACAACACTATGAGTCAAAATAAGTGGTAATGAAGTGTAACGGTGTAGGAAGCTACATGGGCGTAATATTTTTATTTTGTGTTTAGGGAATATTCTGTTATTGTTCTCCTGTTCATGGTGGGTGAGGTTACATTACAGGTTAATTAATTCTACCTACGCCATTGTATCATAATACCAGCAGAAAGTATTGTTTCAACTGTTTTCAAGACAATATTCTGACATAAACAATGTTTTCCAAACGTCCTTTTTTGTTCTCGATAAGGAATCTTACTCAATAATGATGTCGGTGGAATATGTTTGTGTGTTTAAAATTAAGAACTTAACTTTTTATGACGAAAATATATTCAAAGACAGACATTGGAGATGGTTATTAGTTACTTTTTTAAATAATAATACGTAAATAATTATTGGAGGGTTCCCAAAATGTATGACAAAAATGAAAAATACGTTAGTTGACTCTATAGTCTCTTTATGCATTCTTCCTTTTTATAGAATTATTTCAGTCAAAAAGTCAAGAAACATACAATAACTTTCATTTCCCAATAACAGAACATAAACTTATATTAAAATGACATCATAATAAATTTAAAGCAACAAGGAATCCAACACAAGAAAACCGAAAATTATGGACAAGCACAACTAAAACTTAAAATTAACAGTATTTTACACGAGTTTCAAAACTACTAGCAACACAAAGCGAAACAAAATTAATAACGTTTCACGTGAAACTGACTTTCAGACACTTGAACTACTTTTCAGGAAAATATATCAAGGACCTGTTCAAACTTCTTGAAACTGTTTAAACGACTTTTGTCCTCCATGTTTAAACGAACAACTTAGTAAGTTTTCTGTATAAGTAGGTTTAAATATTAGTTGCAAACGCTTAATTCTCAAATTTGATGCGAACATAAATGCTGTTGAACAAGACAAACTTAAGTAGCGTCTTTTACAAATGTTATATGTATATTTTAAGATTTATTACAAATATAAATAACCAGAAATTAAAATATTTACACCTTAAAATGACCAAAAAAAATAAAAACAAAAATGTCAGCTTAACGCATCAAAAAATGTTTCGTTATCGTGAGGTAGGGCGCCCAACAGACTGGCATCATTCCACGTTGAATGGTAATACTTAACAATATACTTATATTATATATATATTAGATTTTAGTTAGTTATAATATTAATATTAGTTTAAATTTAGTTTATCATAGTGATATATTTATAATTGGCTTGTAGTATTACATATTTTATAACACGTAAATAGATTTATTATTATATAATACTTGTGGTGTTGTAAACGCTGTCAAAAAAGCTCTATAATTAATTACAAAACCATAATCTTGTCCGGCTTGAACTAATTAACCTTAGTGTTATCTTAGAGCTTTCAGAAAGGTAACGAATTACTGATCGAATTAGTATCTACTATGAAATAAAACCTAAGCCAAGCTCTATCTTCGGAGTCGCGGAAAACCTAACGGGTAACCAGGGCTCCGGCTCGACGTGCAGGAGAAGGAACGGGGTGGTTTTTAGTCAGTAAGAGTCTGACACTCCCCCCCCGCCTCACCCAGGCGGAAGCAGTCATTCGATGATTTTTCACTTTAAAAAAAAGCCAAGGTCTATCTAAAAACAAGACAGCACAGCTAGTCAGAAGCCATTCACTTTTAAATTCGGCACGTACACTCACAAATAACTTTCAGACTGGAACAGAGTTTAATTCCGACGCAGCATATGTTCCCGACAGCTGTAAGCACTTCGGAGCTGAAAATCCCCCACTTTACATGAAGAATAAAACGACAAAGAGTCCCCAAAGTGCTGGTTTAGCGAACCTGCACTAGTGAATGAACTTTCTATATTGATTTTACCCAAAGGGACCCTTTTGACCACGCTGAGTACATTTTCTGAAACGCTTTTGTTGAAAACTCCTTCTAAACTTCGGATACAATTTGTAAAGAGGTTTCGTTTACTCTGAAAAGTGAATCATTCTGGTTTATTCCTGTCGTTTGACTTGAAATTTATTTTCAGTTTGTTTTATTCCAATTTTAAATATCGGTCGATAAACTATTTAAAAGTAAACACACTCAGTATACAGAAGCACTTTACATAATATTACATGAAGGTTAACGTACATACAAACAACATACTGACAATTAACGTAATCATGTCAACAAGTAATATCCTGACACGATCTGGTTGCTACGCGCTACGAACGCTACGGGCTACGAGCTACGAAATGCTACAAAGTCTACGAGAATCTTAACAAGAGATAAAATTGCCAAGTCGTTTAATATTGAAAATAATCTTAACTTTCTTTGTACACCAAAATAGAAGCTACAAAGTAATAAAAGCAACAATTCATCTAAATATGTGAACTAAAGATTAAGATAAATCTTTCCTTTTATTAAATTCTTGCCAAATTTATAATATTTGATGATTTAATAAGGTCCAAACATTTTAAAAATTCTTAGGGGTTATAGCGATTAGTATTCGACTGACACCATCTCGAGGATAAATGGGTTTTCGGGAAAACTGATTAATGTGCCCCTCAACTTGACCCAAATATAACCTGGCACGTGCCACTGAATACATTGTCCACATTATAACACAATAAAGCCTCTTAGATATATTTTTTTCGTATATTTATTCACTCACTCACTTATGGAAACCTTTTGCCGTTGTCATAGCAACTGTGATAGTTATTGCGATACTTTAATAGATTTTTATCGATATTTATGTGTGAAGGCGTTTGTTTAGATGGGATGTTTTTCTATTACTAGATGAAAGTTCGATTAATAGTGATCTCAGAATACATATTAGTGTCTAGACTAACATAATATCACGCCTTTTATCCCCGAAGGGGTAGGCAGAGGTGCAGTTTTGCCACTGTAGCACGTAACACCCACTTTTCACTATTTACGAGTCCCATGTAATAGGGGGTGAGCCTATTGCCATATACCGGGCATAATTCCAGCCTCCGTGCTACTACTGAGAATTTTTTAAAAACCCAGTAATACTTTGCGCGACCCGGGAATGGAACCCGAGACCCCTTGCCCGGCAGTCACACTTGCGACCACTTGGCCAACAAGACAGTCTAGAGTGTCTAGACTACTTTAACCAATATTACAATAATTCCTACTCTACATAGCACATACCACATTTACAAAGTCTACATTTTGCACCATAGAAGTTTACTGATGAATCGACTGATGAAACAACCTAGTCTTTTTTTAAGGGAAAAGTTTATTTAATAACTTCTCCAGTGTCGGGCGATGCGAGAGAGAGTGTCCGACTCTTACGCCTGAATACTGAAATACTACTCAATTTTTAAGTTATTCTTACCTTTTTTTAACATTTTAATGACAGATTTTTTCTTGAGAATATATTTACATTTGAGCATTTGACCATTACTGATCAAAAACCACCATGATCCTACAAGTGCTTCGAGCCGGAGGCCCGGTGACTAGTTCGTCCTACTCTGTCGGTTCAAAAGTATTTTTTATTAATACTGAAATAAGTTCTTTGACTTTTATTTGGACAAATTAATCGACTACTTATTGGTATATATACCAACGTACTAGATATCGATGACTTGTTTCCGTTTCTGTATTCCAGTTTGTATTTGTCACAGCCGTCAATCGCCTGTCGTGTTAACTGTCAAAAGTTCGATTCTATTTTGAACACAGATATATTTGTCGCGGGAGAAGTAAGTCGCATATACATAATAAACAGTATATAGGCGTTTATATATTAAAGTGGAGATTTTGTTTACAATACAAGGTGCTAATACTAAAATACATTTTCATTTCTTGTACAAATTAAGGTTTTTTTAAGGGGGGAATATCATCGAATGACTGCTCCCGCCAGGGTGAGGCGGGAGGGAGTGTCAGACTCTTACTGACTAAAAACCACCCCGTTGCTTCTCTTACACGTCGAGCTGGAGCCCCGGTAACTCGTTAGGTTCACAAATTAAGGTTTAGGTTCGTTCTAAGACTATAATATACTATAATATAGGATAAGTAAGATTTATTAGTTTCCACAGACTTGCTAATCTTCAAAAGCCATTCGAAACTA